TACAGTTCTGCGCATGTCGAATAAAAAAAAAAAACACGCGGGCATGCAAAACTAAAACATATTTCTTCCGTGATCAAACTCATGTCACCGTTAATCTCTAACAAGACAATAGCGAACAGATAATACAAGCGCCCAGGAAGGGTACAGCAGTTTCTTCTGCTTTCTTCCGGTCATCTGCTAAATAAACGTATTAACTAACTGCTTAAAACACAGCGTCGCATGAGAATAACTCGTTGGTACAGATACTAGTCTAACCGTAGTTACTGTGCACATTATATTTTTTGGATTATTTTAATTAAGTGTATGTCACTGATTTATGTTATATTATTATTATGCTTTGCAGTAATTTTATTGAGGTTAATGTATATTTATTTTACATTACAATGTTATGTTGAATGATCAGATTTAATATAAATATTTTATTTTATTTATAATCAGTTACAGCACTTTATTATTTCGGTTATATTTACATGTGTTATATTTAGGTTCAGTATGTTCCTGTTGAACAGGTCTCTCTACCAGGGTATCTCCGTGGAGAATATGGTTCTTGCTTGACCTCAGCTGGCTGTAGGCTTACCTGACTTGGGCCTAGCCTAGTCTCTGGAATGTCACACTGCTTGGGTTTGTCAGGGTCAGGTCTAGTTGTGCCATACCGCATACCAACATCATCCTCATCAGACATGTCATCAGTCTCCTGTCCCTCAACATTGGACATAAACCTCACCAGTCTGTGTTTCATCACCTTCCTACTGTCAGGATAGTAGACCATATAGGCTGGACTGTTCTTATCATACCCAACAAAGATGCCTTTCTCAGACCTTGGGTCTAGCTTCTTCCTGTCCTGTCTATAGGCATAACACACAGTACCAAACATCTGCATCCTAGACACATTAGGTCTCCTTCCTGTCAGCACAAAATAAGGTGTCTGTCTGGTGCGGTTGTTGAAACATCTATTCCTCACCACTGCTGCTGTCTGGACTGCATACGGCCATAGCTCCTTGGGTAACTTGCTTTCCAAGAGCATACATCTAGCCATATCAAAAAGGGTTCTCCAGTTACGCTCAGCAGTGCCATTCTGGTGTGGTGAGTATGGTGCTGATGTCTCATGTCTGATTCTGTTCCTGCGAATTAGTGCTTGATAACCCTGTCCAGTAAACTCAGTACCATTGTCAGACCCGATACATATAACTTTTCCATATGGGGCTGTGTCAGCTAGGAACCTCTCTGTGGCTTCCACTGTGTTACTTTTGTGCTTCAGAAAGTACACAAACACTGCACTTGAGTAGTCATCAGTAAAGGAAAGTGCATACCTATACCCTTCTCTGGACTCTGGGTCAATAGGACCTGCCAAGTCAGTGTGTACCAACTCTAATGCTGACTTAGCCCTTACATCAGGTTTCCTATTCCTGCTCTGAGTGAATTTACCTTGAACACACACTTCACATTGCATAGACTTGGATGCTTTACCCTTGATTGACATACCATCCACAACCTTCTCTAACTTCTGAATATCATCAAAATTGCAGTGTCCCAAAATCTCATGCCACGTCTGAATATCATGGCAACTCATACATTGATCATCACAGTCATTGTTTACTGACACAGTAGGCAAATAGAACAGTCTGTTATGTTCATGAATGAGAAAACGTGTACCATCTTTGTACTGCAGGACGTCTTCACCCTCCTTGAAGGTCACTGTTGCCCCACTGGAAGTTGCAGCTTTCACGGAGAAGATGTCTTGGGGATAGGAGGGGATGTACAGTGCCTGCTTCAATGTGGCACTGAGGTACCGCCCCCTGCTGTCGACCAGACACACCACTGCTTCTCCTCTGCGCTCCGCGACCCCCTTGCACCTCGTGCCGTCGGCTAGCTCCACACAGTGCGTCTCGGCCTGGAATTGGTCGTCGAAGCTCTTGAACTTGGCCAGGTCGGTGATGATGTGCGATGTCACACCGGTGTCCACCATCAGCCCCTTTCTGGTGACTCCGCTCCCTGGCTGACGATCACTAGTCACCAGCTTGAAGGCGAAGGTGTTGTCTGTCTCCTCGTACACCCCACGTGCGTTATCCTGCCGCTTCTGTTTCCGTCCTCCTCGCCATGTGGTACTCTTGCCGTGGCTGTACCACTGTTGACCATGCTGGCACTGTCTTGCCTTGTGTCCTCTCTGGCCACAACGGAAACACTCAATGTTCCCGCTCTCAGTGCCCTTCACCCTTGCGCTTGCCGGGGCACTGATCTTCCTTGGATGTGCCCGGGCTCCCATGACGTTGTCTTCGGCCACAGCTGTGCGCATACCTTCAGTGTTCTCATAACTCCGCAATTTTGTCTTAAAATCCGCAAAAGAGAGAGTCTCATCTCTTTGAGTGACAAAAATGGAAAAAGGCTTGAATGATTCTGGCAGCCCCTTCAAAACCATTGCAACTAATAGTCCATCACTCAAGACCTCTCCAGCATTCCTTAGCGCTGTGATTGAGGTCTCAGCACGTATGACATAGTCAGTCATACTCTCACTACTCAACTTTCGCAGGGAAGTCAGTTCTGTGTAAAGACTCACAATGCGGGGCTTACCCTTGCCAGTATACTGTAATAGTCCCGCAAAATCCTGAGTGCTCCTCACCCGCCATCTGCAGCCTCTCACATGACCAGGGACAAACTTTTATCATCGAGGAATTGGATCAGTTCAGCATATGCTTCAGCATTCTTTGCTGCATCCTCAGCCAGTGCGTCTACCATTTGCACCCTCGGTGGGTCCATTCAAAATTGTGTCCTTCAATTTCTGTAACTGCAGATGGCCCAAAAACTTAGTCTCCCACAGTTCATAGTTCTTTTCGTCTCCGTCGAACACAAGACGAGACCACCGTGAACTTGTCCGTTCGCTCATGGTGCTGGCACTCCAAACGCGCAAACAAAAATGTCTTGCGGTGGATACTCACACTGTATCTGTGCAAATTTCAGCGACTCTGGGCCCATAACCTGTTGAACAGAGCTTGACTTGATACCGGCTAAAACATTTCCATAAACTTGGACAGAATAAACACCACTTGGACACTGGATGCGGTGAGGACACTCAATCTCTTGTTTATTGGTGTAGGTGCAGCTTAAATAGGAAATCACATGGCATGGTTACATGACAAACACACCTGAGAGTAATTCACAATAATTGGGAGCACACCCATTAGCCAATCAATCAATTAACAGTTCCCTTGGTTATCCGTTGTATTAGTTCCTATCTGCCCTGGTACACAGGGGGACGGGTTTAGAGGGGAACGGTGAAGAGCGGCTGGGGAAAGAAGTTGGAAGGTGTTGTGCCGCCGTGTTGGTGATTATTAAACGTAATCGTTAGAGAAACTGTAGCCCGCTTACTACCCACAGCCCGAGAGGGGGACTGGCACACGCTATACCTACTCATCAAGAAACCAGGGTTACACATGTTTCGAGTCAGTATTTTACTTTCAGTGCTGTATCTTTAAGATTAGGGGGACGTTAATAGTAGTAAAAAATAGTTAGCTAAAGCCTTTATTTTCAACAGCAGCAACACATTTTTGGATTGTTCTCAAATGAAGAACCTGAGGAAGTCCTTCACCTTTTCGCTCTCCGTCTGCTGAAGTTCTGCTTTTTCGCAGAAAGGCGGAGGAATGAACTCATTTGGGTCCTCGATCCCGATCACCAGGTCGTAGAAACTGGGGTGCGGAAGAATAAACGCAAAACTGTCAGTCACACGAGCACACGCCCCCCACCAATGCTGCAGCCTCTAACACGGGCACGCGCTTACCTCGTGAGGATCAGTCCTACGTTTTCGACGTGGTTTAGGGAACTTATGGGAAGACAGCCGAATTCGGTGAATGTCAGCAGGTATTTTGCTGTGGGAGGGAAACACAAACAGATTAACTTCGAAAGGTAAACTAGGCGACCACATGATTAAATTATCGCTGGGATTTCGAGCAGCGCCCCCTTGTGTTTCTCCTGACCACGCCTCTCTCACCCTTTAGCTCTGGTACAGCGCCCGTCCAGGAGTTAACCAGCACCCCCATGCCAGGGGCAGAGGAGCTCCCCAGCACCACCTCGCCCTGCAGTTTGGCGTCGGGAGGGATCTCTATCGGCCGGAAGGGAGTCTTCAGTGGCGCCTTCTTGCAGGTTTGGTTTTGGTACGATATCTCATATGAGACCCCCTGTAAGAAGCAGCAAATCACTGCACGGCTGTACACGGTTCATTTCCATACACTGTCCGAAGCCGATCTCTGGAAGTTACGGGCGCGAGGCAGGGAATACCCCAGCAGGGGGCGCCAACCCACCGCAATCCATTGTGCTTGTTTCTTTATCACTTTATTTTGCTTTTGCTTGTTTATCATTTATTTGTTTGTAATTTTTTTTCATTCGCCTGCACTGCAACTGACATTCAGGATTTGTGCTACTTCAAGATTACGCTCCTTAAGAGTTCAGACGATGCACGGAATCTAAAGTTTATGCACAGCAGCTGTCAGCACTGGGGCTATCCAGTCACGCTTCAGATTAGTCACTGTTATCCTAGGGATGAGGGTCACCTCTTTGTAGAGCAAAAGCAAGTCCACGAAGGAGGTCTGGTTGTGGTCGACTATCAGTGCTCTGACGTGGATCTGCTGGCCCAGGGCGTCGTAGCTGAACCGCTCATACGCCACGAATTTCCCTTCGGGGTATT